CCGAGGTTGATGAGGCGCCTCCAGCAAGCCCCAACGCTGCCTGGGAGCAGCTGGGGTCTTGGGGTACGGTGCAGCTCCCGCTCTGGAAGCCCTGCTACGTCTTCTGCAGGAACAGCACAACACGAAGTGCACGAGACCAAGACAGGCGACAGACAGGGGCAGCAGGCGAAGAGCCACATGATAAACTGCAGCCGGTGGCCTTTGCAAAGTCACCTGCACCTCACCCCCAGAGCTGATGCCCGGCCGTGGGCCACCTCCTGCAGCCCCGCGCTCCCCGAAGAGTGCGTTAGCAGAGCTGGGTGAAACGGAGCAGGAGCCACTATGAGCAAACCATTCGGAAAGCTCTAACCACTCATTAATAGCATCGTGATAGACATTTTCTCCCAGGCACTGGCCAGGTATCTTACTCTTGCCTGCCCCCAAGGATTTAATCCAGATTTCTCTCTGCCAAACTCCGTCCAGCGCTGGGTGAAGCTGCACCAGAGCTTCTTCTGTCTGAAGTGACTTACAGATGCAAGTGTCGCATCAGCAAACACATCTTAGATAGTGTCCACTAACTCTCCCCCAAGTTGGAGGGGACAACAAAGAAATGGATCCGCAGGGGATTGAATTACTAAAACGTGAAGGATTGGTGAGGGATATTTCTTTTCCTCTATAGGGTGTCATCTGAAATAAATGACGAGCAGAAGCAGCAGAGCCTCTGGAGTACGTCCTACCTTAGGTGCGGAGGAGCTCCTGCAAGCAGCCGCCCCAGCACCCCAAGCCTGGGACTTTGCCACCAGCTTCTCGTGCTGGTATCTGCAAGCACGTGATGGACGAGCAGGTTGCACCTCCAGGAACCCGCCAGCAGGACAAGCGAGGGCAGGGCTCGTCTTTAAACCCTTTTAGCCAGGAGCTCGGTTAGTGACGGCAGACTCCTATTACTTCTAGCACTTAACATTCAGGCCAGCAGTAAGCCGTGTCGGGCGGTGGAGATGCTCTGAGACCTGCTTGCTAATTTAGCTGGCATCCCTGAGCTACCCGAAGATGTGCAGGAGGAACAAGACGTCGTATCCAGCCCGGAGACCCCCACGCTGCAGTGCGACAAGGCTGCAGGGAATCACGCAGCCAGGCTCTCCCAAAATGCTCCGTCGCTGCAAGGAAACAAAACGCGGGGGTCCCACTGCAGGGTGCGAAGAGCAGGGCTCACTCCCAACACCCGGCGCCGCTGGCTGCGGCAAAATTCCCCAGGGATTCATCTGCGGGTCTCGGCAGCAGCTCTTTGGGGCTCTTTCCATGAAAACACCTCCTGTGCCTCCCGTGGCTGCCCTAGACCCCCTCCGCTGCCCTAGACCCGCTCCGGCTCTGCGCTGGCCCCTTCCCTCCACAGCCTGCTGAGCCAAGGGGATCAGCATCTCCACCCCGGCAGAGGCGAGCACGCGTCCCTGTCTACGTGACTGGCAGCAGGAGTGGGTTTCTGCACTGGAAACACTCCTCAGCCCCAGGAATTAGCCCGTTCTTGAGTGACGCCCTCCTAGAAATGCGGGCTTCCAAATGTGCAGCTGCGAAATTCAGGTGCAACCTTTGATTTCCCCTGGAGCGTTAACAGGGGATAGAAAGCACGTATGGCCCACGGACCTCTCCACGGCTGGCACAGGGAGATACTCAGACCTTCCTCCTCTCCAAATTTAACCACTACCCGGGGTCCTGTTCCCATCCGTCCCCGGCTCATCTCAGCTCCGAGCACCAGCCACAAGCTCGACGGCAACCCGGGTCGCCCGCCTGCATTTGCACCCTGCTCCTCGCCGGCGCTGCGCTGACGGAGCGCTCGGCTGTCACACCGCGACGGGCACATCACCATCGTCATGCAAGGAACAAGAGGGCTGCATTGTAAGAAAGAAACAACAACAAACAGTAATAATAATTTTCCCAGTCCTTTGGCAGCAGCTGTAATATCAGCAGTTGTAAAAATCTGTTCATAAATAATGCAAAATTGTTATTTACCATCAGAAATAGCAGCAGCATTTATAAAACAGGCCCTGGAAGAAATAATGTGATTCTGGAAAACATGAATAATTGAGAACCTCTGATTCCATGGGATTATTTCTCTGGCAGGCCAGCAAAATCATACTCAGCTTCTCCGGTAAGAGTTTTACTTAGTCCTCCCAGGACTCACAACCTGGAGTACTTCTCCGTGCTTGCGGGTGCCCGTTTCAGCGGGTGCGGGAGGGCTCCCGTAAATACGATTCCGGGCGTTACAGGGCGCCTGGCTGCCTGCATGCAGATTTGCACACCTGGGGCTGTCGAGGGAGGATGGCCAGGCAGCGCCTCGGGGACGGAGATGGAAAGAACGGACATTTCACTGCTTAACCTCAAACTCCACGGGGTTTTGCAAAGCGAAGCATCCTTCTCGTGGCTGGACGACCTGAGCAGCTCACCCCGCGAGACCCCCTCGGCCAGGCGCGTTTTGATGCAGGCAACGTGGGACACGCGGCTTCTTCTCGGGAGGCCAAAATAGTAAGGAATCGCAAGCGCGCGCACTTGATAGAGGCGCTCAAAACATCAGCGCTGGCTGAAATACTCCTGTCAAAACACGCTTTGCAGTGAAAACAAGTCTTTCCATGGGTTTTCTCCCCCTCCCCCTGTGATTGAAATTTTACAGTTTTCTTAAAAAAACCCAACTAGTGCTGGTAAAAGATTTTAATGAGAATAGATCTGGCGTTGCCTTTCCAAGTATAGGTGAAAATAAAATTTTGTTAAGAAATCGTGGGTAGATGGGGGAAAATGAAACCCACATGATTTTTTTGAAAACTCATACAAAACAAGTGCCATTTTCCAATGACCTCTACAAACCGCACTTGCTCAAACCCACAAGCAGCTCATCAGAGACTTGAAAGCGAAAATACGAGGTCAGATTTTCCACTGCAAGCGAGATTTTACAGCTCCTAAGCAAGGATGCAGGGATCCAGAGGCGTTCCTCCGACTCCCACCTCATCCTGCCTGTCAGGTCGGCCCCCAAAACTGCAGCCCCCGTGAGCAGGCATGGCAGCGACAGGACTCGGGACCAAGTGCCAAGGTCACTGGCATGCACGGCACAGGGGTATCTGTGTCCCAAGGCCACCCACCCTTCCAGCGGGGCTCCTCCACATCTCACAGGCTTTGCAAAGGAGCCGGAGCGCTCGCAGGACGCTCCATCTTCCAGCTCAACAACCCAACACAACCAGCGACAAATTTTGCTCTCGCTGGGTGAACTGGTGCAAGACCCGGGAAGAAAACTGGACTACCTCCAGCCGCCCCAGTATGAAATTGCATCCCGCCTGCCAAAGCTTTCACATAAATCTGCTCGCAGCTCGGGGTCTCCTGGCCAGGAGTTGCGGGATGCTCAGCCCTGCCTCTCCCCGGCGTCAGAGAGCGGCTGGGAGCCCCCGGCACACGGCTCCGGCGACTCCGGCAGCTCCGGTGGCACAGACCATGAGCGTTCCTCTCTGCGCGCAGCTGCGGGGAGGGATGGGAAGGAGGAAAGCTGTCTTCTCCCATCCCTTCCATTAAGACTTGCACTTCAGCCACACAAAGGAGCTTCCATGCCTTGGTCACTCCCTGGGAGGGAGAACACCGCCGGTCAGGGAGGTGCATAGAATCATACAACCATAGAATCGTTTAGGTTGGAAAAGCCCTTTAAGATCATCCAGTCCAACCATTAACCTACACTACCAAGTCTACTCTAAGCCAATCAAGGGTAGACCAGACTGAACCATGTCCCCAAGTGCCACCTCTGCCCATTTTTTGAACGCTTCCAGGGATGGGGACTCCCCCACCTCTCTGGGCAGCCTGTTCCAATGCTTGACCACCCTTTCCGTGAAGAAATTTTTCCTAATTTCCAACCCAAACCTCCCCTGGCGCAGCTTGAGCCCATTTCCTCTCGTCCTATCGCTAACTACTTGGGAGAAGAGCCCAACACC